ATCTAAATGTGTTTGGCATGAATGCCTCTGCGGCTTGAATCCTGTGTCCAGATCTGGTGCCCACAGGTCAAAGAGGATGTTGATAAATCAGAGAGGGTTCAGACAAGAGCCACATGAATGATTAAAGAATTAGAAAACCTGTCTTGCAGTGATAGACTCAAGAAGAGCAATCAATATAATTTAATAAAGAGAATGTTAAGGATTTGCTTGGTTATAACCTGTAAGTACCTACATGGAGGATAATTACCATATATACTCATTCATAAGTTGATAATTTTTGGTAAAAAAGTGAAGCATCAAAGAGCAGAGTGTGATGGGGTGCAGTCACAGAAGACCCCTTGGGATTGTTCCCCTGTGTGCTGATTATGCCAGTGACATCTGCCTTCTTGCTTTCTGGGACTTCCCACTACCCTGTCCTGCTAGGCCAAATTCTCTTGTCTCCCCTAGTCAAGCCACAGAGTTGGAGTTACTGTCCCCCTGAAGAGTAATACAGACTCTGAGCCACTTCATCTCTGGGAGAATGAAGTTCTAGGGCACTCCCGGGAAACCAACCCTCAAAAGAGATCAATCCCCCAAATAAATCCATCTTTCTCTGAGTAAAAGAGATACACAAAGAAAGCACATGAGGATGTTTGCCCTCTTTATCAATGAAAGAGAGTTACGCACACTGGTTGTCCCTCCACTCCCAGGTAACAATTTTTTACACCTGGCCTGATAGTAAACAAAAGTGTTTTTATTAAGTACAAACAGTAGGATTTAAGTAGTTGCAAGTGAAAACAGACAGATCAAAGTGAGTTACTAAATTAAAAAGAAAAGAAGATGCATAGCTAGTTCTAATTGGCTACGAAACAGCAGATTTTTACCCTAAAGAGCTGTTCTTCACATCAGAGACTACCTCTTTTATCTTGACCTGAGTCCCTAGCCCTCTTTAGAGTATATCATGCCAGCCAAAGACAAAGACCTCATAACTTTCCCTTGCTTAAATAGCCTTCTCCCCAGGACATTCCCTCTTCCATGGAAAATTACCTGGGTCAAAAATGAAATCCCAGTACCAGGGGATGTGGTCACATCTTACTAGTCCAGTCACCTTTGAACTTACAGGACAAACAAGTCTGTTTACAAGTTGTTAAGTTGATCACCTAGTCATTAAGGCTGTCCCACCCCAGTAATGGCTCTCATTAGCACATTTAAAACTATACACAGTCTCATACTGTTTCTAACTGTACATACAAGAATGATACATGCACCGAAACAGGACATACAGATCCAGCAGGATGTAACATTAAAATTGATAGGTTACATATGAGGGAAGCGGTATGGGCCTAGGGATGTGCTGGCTGCCAGTTCCCATAGCTTCTATTGGCTGGGAACAGCAAACTGCGTATACTTCAGGTAAACAAAATAACCTGACCTGTCAGCGACTTAGCCTTGATGGGCTGGACAACAAGTTAGCCGACCCCTGATCTACAATGACACGTATTAGATATTCTTTCAATCATTCAGTAGAGTTTAAAATCATTTCTTAGTTATGCATATTTATATTCATAATCCAATTTTCACAAAGCATTGAGGGGAAAACCATCACATGTGGGTCACCTTACTAAGGGGTCTAGACCAAAAGTTGAAGTTCCCAACCAATGGAAAGTATGGGAAGTGGCAGCCAGCACATCCCTAGGCCCACAACGCTTCCCTCATCTTCCTTTGGCCAGTAACAGCTAACCCTGGCCACTGGGTGCTGAGGGAATCCTGGCCTACCAGCAGTTTACCCTGATGGGTCAGGAGCCAAAGTTTGCCAATCCCTGAAATACATGGTCAGCTTATAAAAGGGTCATACAGTTTTTCCATTTTACCTGTCTATCTTGGGGTTCAGCTTATTAACAAACGGCTAGTGAACGAGTATATACGGTATTTAAGGCTCTCATTCTAGCAGAGAAAGGCATAACATGATGCAATGGGTGTGGAAGTTGAAGGTAGATAAATTCAGACTGGAAATCAGGTGTAACTTTTTAACAGCTAATTCACCTTTGGAATAATTTACCAAGGGTCATAGTGGATTCTCTTTCACTGACGATTTTTAAATTAAGTTTGAATGTTTTTCTAAAAGATCCTCTGTAGGAATCATTTTGGAGAAATGCCCTGACTGTGCTATGCAGGAGGTTAGACTGGGGGATTACACCGATTTTTCCTTCTGGCCTTGGAATCTGTGGAATCTCCTTGAGCTGTGTGGAAGGCTCTGCTGGGGGCAGGACAGATCTTTCTGTGCTATTTGATTCACGTGGGCTTTTGCTTTGAGCCTTGGATTCAAACAAACCCCAAAACTCAAAGTAACACTCCACTGGCACCTCCAAGTTTTGCTTGAATTTTTTAGCAAAACCCTGTTTTGTAAGCTTTTCACCCAAAGCCCTGACTTTGGCTTATGTTTGCAGAAAAGTTTGTAAACTTCACCTGAGTTTAAGGTTTATAATCAGGCAGATCCTATTCTTTCTTCCTCTCTCAAGCTATCTCTTTCTTTCCACCCTTCTCTGTGCACTATAAACGATAGGGCCACATTTTTGTTTGCCTTGAATAGCAGCAAGAAGAAGTAGTATAACCAACTTACCTAGGGGCGGGGAAGTGAGTCCACTTCCACCACACACACAGGATTTGCAAGATGAAAGGCAGACAGTAGGCCTGTGACAGATCAGAAGGGTGTGAAGAGCAAGAGTCAGCATGTGTGAAGAGTTCTGTGCTGGGAGATCTGATGCTGCATCACTAAATAATAATAGAAATCTCTACCCAACCTTGAAAACCCAGGACTTGAGTTTGCTCTCCTATCAGTGCCGATCAGGGGTAACTGTTTTGGAATCGGTGGAGTTGCTTTAAGTGTAGACGATTTTGTGCTATTGCACAGAGCAAAATGAATACCAGTTTCCCAGGCCTTTCTCAGCCTAGATCAGAGCTTTGTGGGAATTGTTCATTTTTACAACCTGTCTTGTTTAATAAATTGAAATCTAAATCTGGAAAGAAAGAACCAAACAATCTCATCCCAGAAAAAAACATCTTATGTAAAACCTCCATGTTCCAGACAAGGTGAATGGGGTCCCTCCCCCACTGTTATAATTTCACTAGAGCCATAATAATTGCATCAGACCCTTTAAGACCTTTAGCTTCCATCCCTGCGAAATGGCTGCCCATTCCTTGCACCTGGTGGTTTATGAAGTCAAAGCTACAGCTTTTATTGCTGTAATCTTAGCATATCTGATGCTCTGGTAATCTTTTTGTCTGCAACTGTGAGACCAAGAAAATGGAAATCTGGAACAGGTTTCCTAAGCGGTTGAATGGGAGGCGGAGGCAAGAAATTGGGTTTGCAATTAGTGGAATTAATAGATACACTTTTGAGCATGGTTTGATGGGTGAAACATGGATCCTAAATACCAAAGAATCCCCACAATGCCAGTTGACAAGAAACCACTCCCTTTCCCGCGTGAGTCATATAGGAAGGAAGCACACACAGATTATGTTCTCTTAGTAGGAATAAGGTCCCTAGTTACCCCTATACTTTGGATATGAGATTAATTCAAAGAGAGTTCAGTGCTGCTTTTACCTAGAGCTAGAATTTAAGCAGATGCCCCCAGTCCTGCAAAGCACTTGAATTAAACCCAATCCAGTTTAAGTACAAACTGGAATCCATCCCTTTTCAACAGAGCACTTAACCCCGGGCGTAAGTCCCATTGACTTCACTGCTCTCGCTTATGTGCCTTCTGGCCTGATTCAAGTCAGCAGACTCCGGTCGAGTCCAGTGGCCTTTGCATTAGGTCCTTGGTGTAACTGGATGGATTTCAAGTACGATGCTTAAGTGCTTTGCTGAATCAAGGCCAGATGGAATGGGAGAGGGAGAGACGATGTCCGTTGTTAGACGAATGTGCATTAGGCTCCAACCATGTGCGTTCTTTGCAGATGGATCTGCTTAGCACTCTCTGCAACCTGTGTCTGCAGAGGCTGTTTTTTCGCAGGCAGATGTGGTGGTACATGTTTTGCCTGCAGACAGATGTCCCATGTAACTTCTTTGAAAACTTGGGCCCCTGGTGGCTGGGAATTATTCTCCATCCTATTGGCCGGATGAAACCGTGGAAGCTGCCATCCTCTGGAAGCTGCCAGGTGAAACTGACACTTACAGGTGCCTCTGGGGCTGGTTTACAGCAGATGGGAAAAGACTCTAACATAGCCTGTTCTGATCAGAGTGGGCAGTGCCCACCAAGAGGATGGCAGAGGAAGAAAATCTGAGCTTCCTACCTGGGTCTAAGTTAAGGAGGTTGTTTATCTGGTTCTGCTGCTCCAGCTCATCACCAGGCAGAGTGACAGAATATATCAAATTAATTTCTGAGGTGGGAAATAGCTAATCATTTATTTACAGCTACGGAGGGGGAGGGGGCTGGATATACAGGCTTTCCTTAATGCAGTGTCAGTGCTGAGCCTTTTCACTCCCCATGGGCTTGTCCTATTAGCGGAGACAATATCTTTCCACCTCCCCTCCACCCTCCTAGCGTATGCATGTGACTGTGTGCAGGAGAGAGGAGTCAACCACAGGGCTCTAATTGACTGCATAGCAGAGCCTGTGATGGGCTCCCAGGGCCAGTGCAGCGTGGCTCATCACAGCAGCCTGCATTTAGGACGGTGGTGGGGTGGCAGGCAATGTTGCCTCTATTTTCCATCTGTGTGCAGAATAAATTTTGTTATATGCACTGGGGCATGTGCAGATGTGTACCACCAACAGAAACACATAACCAGCTGTGGGTGGCTGTGGGAGGTCTGCCAATCAGCTGGATGTCATCTGAATCTCTCCTGGGCAGCTATCCAAGAGCTCAGCTTACAGTGAACACAGAGGTGGCAAGGCGGGCTAAGGTCAGAGAAGCATGCTAGATATGCAAGGCTGGTGTTGATCAAGGGTGGGTCTTGAGTTGTAGGAGGTGTCGTGTTCAGCAAGTGTCACTTACCTCTTTGTTTGTTTGTTTGTTTAACAGGATACACACCCACTGGGATTTAAACATCTCCTTCCGAGAGACCTCTTGCAGGTACCATTTTGGGGCACCCTCTTTGTATGGTAGGCTAAGAGTTTATGATACACATTACTGGTATATGGATGCAGTTAGACATGAAATAACATTCATGCATGTGAACCTTTCTGTCTGTCTGTCTGTCTTTGAAAAAAACCCAGTCATTCCTTCCTCTAAAAGGATGCAATTACTGTTGTCTAAAGATGTTTTTTTAGGTCTGCTTTTTCTAAAACCACTGTGCTCCTAAATGAGGCTAATCAGTGGGTGGTGGGTTTGTAGATGTCCATGCAATGTCATTAAGACCCTGATCCTGCAAGCATTTCTGCATGTGGGTATTTCCATTGGAACCTTTGGGCTGTTCACTTGTATAATGTTAAGCATGCTCATAATGGAGTGTGGGACCAAGGTCTAAAACTGCGAGAGTGACTTGGTGGCTCTTACCTTTAATCAATGGGGGAGGGATTTAGATATTAAAAGTCACCTTAGAGGACAAAGATTTGCTTAAAAAGAATAAAATAAGGAGAGAGAGGGAACACACAGGAACTGCCATCCCACTTTGATAGGCTACCCTACAATGATCAATACCTGAGAAAGGTCAAAATCGATAGCCAGTTATTACAATGTTTTGCACAAGTCGGAAAATTCCTTCCTGTCCTGGGAATATGAGAGTTGACTGTCCTTTATATTCATATATATACTATAACTGAAAGTATTGCTTTTGGTCATGAAATTATCTAGCCCTTTTAAAAGTCTAGCCACATTATTTGCCTCTATGGAGAAGAGAGGAATGCATGTTCTAACTTCTGCTTTATATGAACTTCACTATTTGCCAGTGAAGCACTTGAACCAGACATATGCTGTTTGTTTTCTGGAGGAGAGACAAATCATTGCACATGGCTAATAAAGAACAGGTGGTGACTGCGAAACCTCTTGGCATGGAAGAGTTGAAAGAAGTGTGTGTTCTACAGAAGGATGTTGCTGGGCACAAATACAGTGGGCTGGATTCTGATCCTGGTTGTCCTGGTTTCAGTCCAGAATAACTTGACTGAAGTTGACGGAGTTACTCGGGATTTATACCAGTGAGGCTGAGATCAAAATCTGTCCAGGGGATTTCAAGTTGCGTAGCATGAAATTGAATGAGCTTGCAAATAACAGCCCAGCAAGTGTCATGGTGCTCTGTGCAAAATTCCTGTTCAGTTCTAGAACTAGATGACCAATACGAAAATATTATTATTATAATGCCCACTACGTGCTAGGCCAGTGTTCCTGAAAGTGTTTTGCGGAATCACTCTCAGAAACACATTAACTGGCCGCCCCAGTTTGTTTATTTACTGGCGCCACGGCCACAGAGCCTCACATGGTCCGGCCCATGCCGCTTCCTGTGGCTCCCCTTGAGTGCAAAGGACAAAATGGAGCCAATAGGAGCCACGAGGCTCCGTGGCCGCGGCACTGGTAAATAAACAAACTGGGGTGGCCCGTTAATATCCTTCTGAGAATGATTCCATAGAACACTTTCAGAAACACTGTGCCAGGCTTTTTCCAAACATTTCAGAAGGATGGGCCATGCTCTCCGGTGCTCAAATCTAAGGGCACGCAAGAGCGTTTCATTAAATACTTTATCAGATGTGTTTCTTATTAGGACTATATGACTATGCTTCGCCGCATCCTGGTGTAGCACTTACCCAAGAGAACATAAGGTAGCACGTTTAGAAAACATATAAGTCTCAATGTTGCAACTGAACTGAGTTGTTCGCTCTTAGACGTCAGAATGTTTAATGAAAAGTAAATATCAGTGGCAGCGGGAGAGTGTATTAGAAATGACTTCCAATGTTTACCACCTGCCCTTCACACACAACAGACAACTTCTGCTTCCTGGCTGTGAACAGCTCCCTGTAAAAAATGTGTCTGCCTCCTTTGCAAAAAAATAGAACTATAAAGCAAACGGTTTGGGCTGTTTTGTTGGATGTATTTGTAGGTCTCATCTAAATTATAGACCATAGGGTGAGATCTTGTTGATTGTTTTTTCTTTTTTGTCCCCGATTTGATTCAACACATAATTTAGGTACACGCATAAGTCCGTCCCTATTCAGCCAAGCCTTTAAGCACGTGCATAAGTTCTTGGCTGAATTGAGACTTGGCCTCCTCCTTTGGAGCTCTGAAGGCGCTGTGGAGAGAGATGTGAAATTTGTGCTGGTTCGCATCCCATTAGGAGCCATTGAAAGCGGTGGGCTTAATTGGGTGGGGGAGGTTAGCGCATCACTCAGCTCCAAGTCTGAGAAAATGTTGTTGTTAAAATGTTATAAGTACAAAACAACGGCCCAAATCAGCAGATTCTAAGACCCAGTCTTGCAAGCTCACTTCGGTCGGAAGCTCCATTGAAACCACTAGGAGTTCCATGTCCAGACAGTTTTTAGGGTTAGGAGCCTATGTTGTTGCTTTAAGATTATGACACATGAACATTTGAATGAATGGATTCCTTCCTGGCAGACCCTTTCATGATAAATTTCAGCCTGGAATGAAATTTTATGGCCCAGTTATAAGCTCTTAAAAACCCCCAGAGGTTTATAATGGAAGTGCTTACACAAGCCTTAACTAATAGCCATTTGAACAATCACTTTTGAGTGGCACACATCTTTCGGAAATTAAAATTCCCACCTTTTAAACTATTATTTTTGAATGTGTAGTGCCAAGGCTAAAATGATGGTTGAATTTTTATGACTATGAGCAGATTTCTCTGACTTCCCCCTTTTAATTGTTTATTCTTGTAGCTCTTTCCTGACAGCTTGGTTTCAGTATTTGGAAATTCTGTTTTCACAATACTGAGAGAACTCAAGTGATTGTGTGCCCATTATCATTGTGACTCAGGGCTGTGCTTACAAATTACAGGATCCTATGCAACTGAGGGCCTCTCATCATGCGGCTTCTGCCAAGGGCCTGGGGTTTCTCTTCCCCCTCTCCTGCGTGGCTTTTGATGGGGGCCTCGGGCGTCTCTCCTCCCCTCGCATGGCTCCTGCCAGGGATCTGGGGCTGGAGCAGAGATGCAGAGGCTGGGGGCTCCTCTTTGCAACTAGTCTGACAGCAGGCAGCCATCACTAACTGACTGCTGCTGGCCAAGAGGCTCACAAGGGGGCGGAAGGATGGACTAGGGATGTGAATGACTAGTTGACTAATTGAGTATCCAATAAGCAAATGCTTATTGGATAGTCGACGCACTAGTCGACTAGTCGCTTCCCCCATCCTCCTTGCTACTTCTATCAGAAAGAGGCAGCAAGGGCAGGGGAAGAGGAAGGGTGCTTCAAAGCGTCAGCGCCACATGGAGCCCGGGGCCAGCTGGGCCAGGCTGCACACCGTGTTTCAAAGCGGCAGTACTGTGTGGAGCCTGTGGTACTTTGAAATTGCATGGACTATTCGATTAGCCAATTAATCTAAATTTAACATCCCTAGGATGGAGAAGACCTGCAGTGAACAGGAGAGAGCAGTCCCAGGGAGGGGCCAGAGAGGAACCACCAGAGGCACAGCCTCAGGCGTACAAGAACACATTGGTGCGTTGGGGCACCTGAAGATGTAGTGCCTCAAATTTTTGGGTGTCCTACACAGCTGCATGTTTCATGTATGCCTAAGGATGGCCCTCTTGTGACTAGCAAAAACCTAGGCAGTTCCATGGTAAGATACAAGTTTTGCTACTGCAGGTCAAAAAAGTGGCCAGTCGTAATTCTTGAGCAAAAAGCATTCAGTATCCTGTAATACAGAAAACTAACTGTGTAACACAGTGATGCCCTGAAACATGAGATTTATCAGTTCTTAACACTGGTTTACTAGTAAGAATATTTAAAGGGGAAGTGCTTAATAAAAAGGGGACAAATTTGGCTTCACATCTGGTTGGGAATTCTTTTAAATTCTAGTTGGGTTTTCAGCATAATTGCTTAATTGTTTTTGCAGACCCTACACAAAGCAACCATCTAGCCTTCTGATGACACAACAGCTAAGTGACCTGAGCTGGTAACCAGACCCCACATAACATTTAAATGTAACAATCAAGAACTTAGCTAAATCACATTCTGATTTCTTGAAATGGAGCCTCTGTGGGAGATTTCAAGGAGTTTTAATTACATGGGCAATCTGTTATTCCATTGTTAAGATAATTGGAGACAAAGCAGGCCTGATGCTGACAGCTAGTAAATTTCTTAAAGGACCCCTTTTTAAATTAATTTTAATTCAAATTAACAGATTTATTTACAAGTGCTACAAGCGGTATGTGCAGTCATTTTGGGGAACAATAAAGAGGTTGAATCCCCAGTTTAAGTATGAACCCAACAAAACTTTTGTTGACAAAACTATATCTGCGTCTACACTACCGCCGAGTTCTGTCGACATAATATCGACAGAACTCAGCAGTTTTGTCGACGGCTGTAAACCTCATTCTACAAGGAATAACTCCTTTTGTCGACAGAGTTCTGTTGACAGAAGGCGTTATTGCATCTACACTATCCTTTGTGTCTACACTCTCATGTCAACAAAGCGGCTTGCTTTGTTGACAGAACTGGATGTAGTCCAGACGTTCTTTGTTGACAGAAGCTTTGTCGACAGTTGTCTGTCATCAACGCCTCTGTCGACAAAAGCCTGTAGTCTATACGTACACTAGATGATAGACCTGACCACATGAACAGTTAGGTGTCTTAACTGGGGACATTGTGAACTCAGAGGTAACTCAACCAATCAGCCCTCTTCCTTTATAGCCAGTTTTGCACACTACCATTCTTTTGGCTCTAGAAAGTCAGAAAGGGTCCTCGGCCTCATGCTAGCTTGGGCATTGGAACCCAGAAAGGTTCCCCATGGTGCTGCCATTTGGCTTCAGCCTGGCTGAAGCACATACAAGTTGAGGCAGGAGTGGAGGCTTCCTCCTGCCCTCACCCCACATCCCTATTCCCCCCCATCAACTCCTCAGATCCCTGCTCACTCTCATGTCTGTGTGTATCCCCCTTTGCCATTGGAGGAAGCTGCAGGAGAGACCCTGTCTT